AATAGAAAATTTTGAAATAAAACAAACAATTCTGAGAGCACACGAAAACAAATATGAAAATAGAATTTAAACTAGAAATTTATTTATTAAATAAGGCGATACACTGCCTTAATCATATAAAGGGTAAAAATTTTGAACAATTTAAATTGGATTTTTTTTCTGTACCGACTTGAATATAATTCAATGTGTGCCTTAATCATATAAAGGGTAAAAATTTTGAACCATTTAAATTGGACTCTTTTTTTTTCATATTAACTTGAGTATAATTCAATTGATTAAGATATCTATTTCCAACCAAAAGATTACGAATTCGAATCTCCACCCTATATTTGGTACTTAAAAAAGTTTGGAACAACTTTACTCCACATTTTCTTGGCCTTGAATGGGAGCTACAAAATTCTAACAGCCTTAATTAATCAATAATTTTTGAAATCATTAATGAAATTAGAGAATATTTAGTAAAAATTTATGGACTCACTGAAAGTTCCCAGGTAGAGATCTTTATTCCCAGCAACTCTCCCTATCCTGGCTTGCCATCTCCCATGCTGGTGATGCCTGTCATCAAATCCACCATACACAACTTAATTTTCCAGTGCCACGTCAGCAAACTAATGAACAATATATAATATATATGAAATAAAAATTGAGGAAAATGCATGAGAAAAAGAGATGGCATCTGATTTTTATATGATTCAATATTATTATTCCAATCTTAAATAATAATTAAGGAAATAATGAAGACAACATGATCTATGTGTTGTCTTAATTAGGCTCAATATGATCCTATCATCACAACAACTCTTCTTGAGTTTTATTTTATTCCAAAGTTTTAAGGTTTAATTATATGGTATAAAGTTTGTTATATGCTTTCCCCATAACACAATACATTAATCACACCACGATCCTTTTTTCTGCAACAAAAAAATAATAATAATAAAATTAAATAAGAAGAAGAAAATTCTTTGACATTTTTTTATGCAACTTTTTTTCTGTAAATTGTGTGCAAAAGAAGTAAATTGTCTATTAATAAATTGTTTATTTAATTATCTACTTTCTAAAATTTTAGTATATTAAAAAAATATCTAAATTAATTCCCCCTTTGAAAGTTTAAGGCCCTAGTCACTGTGCCATCTCGAGGGTACTCTTGAAGTTCAAATTTATATCGAGAGAGTTTAATTAAATTACCTTGTTACTCCACGATAAATGGAAGCTCCTCGAGAAAACCCGCTACTCTTCCTACATATATATCGACCTCGTTAAACAATACACCATTTGATTCAAATTAATTAAAGCATATATTACAGTCAAACTCCCAAGTCTAGTATTTTTACCTTCTGAGAGACGCAACAAACTCTTGCCTGGTCATGTGCTTCATGTCTTCAACCTCTTTTTCGTAATCACTAATCTACAATATTTAATTCAGTTTTTTAAAACACTAATTTCCCCACTATGCATACAAAATCCAACATTAATAAACAACAATAATAATAAAAAAGTTTATATAACACATTCATTATACACAGCCCCACAATACAACTTTTGCATGTCAATTCTGATTATATGGCCAACACACTCACAAAACATCACTCCATTTTCTCTCATATTTTCCGAGAAAATGTCATGCAAAGTTGGAGAAAACTTTTTGCACTATGATCATTTGACTAATTCTTGTTTAACTTATTCTCTTCCTTAAATTAATTCCTTTGTTGCTATAAATTTTAGTTTTGAAACTTTAAAATATCTTRATTAAGCAACCTTGACATTATAATATATATTAATAGATTGCTAACATGATATCGTTGATTTAACTAATTCAACATTGAGTGATTGGCATGATATTGTGAGTAACTATCTAGATTGATGGGACATATATTCCATTATTGGAAGATTAACGCCATATTTGATAACTAGCTTATTCGTTATTTCTGTTTCTCAAAATTATGCTTATAAGCGGTAGTGTTTAAAAATATTTTCGACTAATATTCAAACGACGAGGAAGCAAGCATACTTTTTAAAACCACGAATTAAAATTAAAATCGTTATCCAACAGTGTCTAAAATCATAGTCGTTGGACTAAATTTGTAATTTAATCGGAAAAAAAATGGGGGAAAAGCTTACTGGAAAATTGGTTGTGGTTGTGGTACCCCAGTATTTGAGTGCTGCTAAATCGTAGGCTCTTGCTGCCTTTTCTTCCTTGTCATAACCTCCTATTTATATACCAAAAAAATCACACCATTAATCAGAGAAAACCCAATAGAATATAACTGAGATTTCATGTCAATTCAATAAAACTACAATCATAAAGTTACAAACAAAAAATTGTTAAAAAAGATGGAAGAGTTTTGTATTACTCACCCAAATAGACTGCATGATTTGTAGTGGAAATGAAGCCCCACACATTGAGTTGATAAGAACCCCACATCACATAACCAAAATTAGAATAATAATCATGTAATCATTTCTTGATCAAGATTATTATTGACAAATAATTCAAAAGAAAAAGGAAATCAGATCTTCCTCCCATTAATTAATTACCTTGTCTTCCTTTTCTAGTTTGTCCTTCTCTTCTACAACTGTTGTCCCACAGATGAGCTTCATATCTTCCTGTCCATCTATGCCTGTCAAAGAAATTTCCCAAAATATAAAAAATTCAACTTTAAAGAAAATGGTAAAGAAAACATTTTCCCCAGAAACAAACATGCAAAATAATAAGACAGAAAAATAAGAGTTTGAAAGTCTAGCCCGTCAGCTCAAGCTTACCTGGTTACGCCGCGGTAAATGGAAGTTCTTTGTCCGAATGTATCGACGGATTTTCTCGGGACAGCTTCGACGGTGCCGTTTTCGCCATCCACGTCGGTAGCCGTGGATTTGGGTTGCTTGTTGTCGGACGAGGAGCTTTCGCCGCCGCTTCCACCGCCGTTGGCCGTGAGAAGTGGCAAGGCCGCCGAGCCGGACTGCGGCGGCCCGGTGTTCATCGAGAGCGATAAAGTGTGCGCGTTTGTAATGGCACCACCATGGTGCAGCCCTCCAAGCGCGCCGTCGTGATCTCCGTCGCTCTTGCCCACCGCCTGCGGCGGCGCCGGCTGATTTCTCAGCCACGTCTTGATCATAGATAACCCAATAGAGCTACTGTTGTTGGCGGCGCTGGCTCTTCCACCACCGCCACCGCCGCTTCCCTCAGATGGAAGCTGTAAAGAACAGTTTTGGAACATGTAGTTGCCGGAAACATTGGTGTAGRCGGCGGCGTCGTGGTCGGTGAAAGAGTGTCGGCCGAGGAAATTTTCAAGCTTGGGTTGGTGCTGAGTTTCTATGCTTTCACTACTACACGAAGCTGTCCCCATTAGCATACAAAAATCCGAGCTTTGTGTCGACCCTAAATCCTTCATACTATTCCAATCTATCCAAACAAAAAAGAAAATGTTAGATTAATCGCAGAAGAAGAACAAACAACAAAAGAGCATACCATAACCATTTAATTTTTTTAATTTCCATGCTTATAAATACTTTTTCTTTTCTTTATAACCCAGAATCGATGGGCGTATGGCACCGGTTGATTCCTTATAAACTAGAGTATGGACGATAATCCAGCACTGAAACCGACGAACTCGTCCTCGAATGAAAGAAGTTTAGCTACGCTCTCCACAGGACTCAAACTAGAGGGGTATTCCCATTCAGCTACAAACCCACCATCCAGTCACCACCCGCCAACCAAAAAAGGGTATCACCATTCAGCTACWAATCCATTTGAAAACTAAAGCATTAGGAACTACAAATGAAATCGGCTTATATAACAACAAAAGAGCATACCATAACCATTTCATTTTTCAATTTCCTAGCTTATATAACCACAGCGGGGTGGTATAGTGGGTTTGTGGTCAAAATGAGAATACCCTTCGCCAGTTTCAATCCCACGAAGCACGTAGTCAAGATTTTCCTCCCTCTATTCCGTAACATTAGTCACAGTGTTGGATGGCTCGACACCTCAGGGATCCAACGAGCGAAGTCACACGGCAACAATTCCAAGTTTAAAAAAAAAATAAAAAATCTCAAGCTTATAAACACTACTTTTGAAAAGTTAAAATATTAGAAATTGAAAATGAAATCGGCTTAAAAATCAGTTTCTAAAGAACCCCATCTGGCATTAAAGGCCAAAAAGAGAAACTTTAAAAGGGACCTTGAGAGTGAGTAGTGTGGCGGTCGTTGAAGTCTTCGAAGACGGCATAGGAAGAAGGAAGAGGAGGGTTGTCGGAAAAGCAGACGCCGGAGACGACGTCGCCGGAGTTGAAGGCGACGGAGCCGCCGTGTGGATGATCGGAGGGCGGTTGCTGATCTTGTGGGGACAGAGAGAACCCCAGCCAGTTGATTGAACCCATAATAATATATATAAGAAAATAAAGAAAACCAGCAGATTAAGATCAGTTCTTGCTTAAACTTGAAGGGTTTTTAGAGAGATAAATATAGAAACTCAGACAAAAATGGAGCTCCTTGCATGAGAGATGATGGAGAGCAAGATCTGAGCTTCCATGGCGAAGGAAGGCGAAGGGATTTCAAGAATATGAATKCTTCGACCAAAATGGACATTTATAAACACACACAAAAAAAAAAGTTCTCTCTCTCTCCTCTCATCTCTGTATTTTCTCTCTCTTCTCACTCTCATGAACGAGTTGAAACAGGGAAGGGGGGACACTTAGGTTTTCTATATTATTACATTACAAATTGATTATATATTTTGATAATAAATAATGGGAAGGTCTGAATGAGAAAATATTTTAAGGCACACGTACACACAGGGAAGGGACTTGTTGAAATAAAAATAAGAAAACATTTATACATTTGTCATGTATGCCTAAACCAAAAATCCATTTTTTTAAACAAAAAATAAATGAATATTGATATTGAACTCCACAAAACAAATGTCCTTTTCTCCTCTTCCATTTCAACTTTGCCTTTGCCTTTAAATATATTCTCGTATCAACTTTAAATTTAGATGTTTGAGTTGGAAATATCTTGTATTCAAAAAAGAAAGCAACTTGTTGTGGGGGTAAAATCGGCCGCCACGTGTCACTATAGGAAGAGAATACCGATTTGATTGATCACTCGGAATAAGAGATCGGAGCGTATGAGGGAAATATCCTCGGTCTACGGCCGACCTCCTATGACGCTGCAATTCAGGGGTAGGAGTGATTAAATGTCGTTCGTAATTCCTTGACTCCCCTTCGATTTGCTACGCGCATCGTGGGAAGATTTGTGCCAACGCTCTCCCGACTCGCCTATAAGACAAAACAGTAAGCACGACAGAATCCTTATAAAAAAAAATACCTTTATATATATTCTGATCTTCTTTTCTTTGCAAGTTCGTCTATTCATCAAAGCCTTTACGTGATCATTTGTGGCGATATATTTCTGTGCAAAAATATAGCTTTTTAATTTTGTGGAAAGTTAACTAACGAAATAGAAATGAAAGATTTATTGCATAATCATGACCATAAAAAGAAAGAATGATATACATATTGTCCGCTTTAGACATCATCCTCATAGTTTTTGCTTTTTGCATCCAAAGTGCCTCATATATATCAATGAAGACGTTATGTTCATCACATATCCATGATCTTCTTCTTCTCCAACTAATGTAGGACTTTATTTGTACTATTTAAAAAAAAACGAAATGTACCGTTACAAACCCAACAAAAATTTACCTTCCCACCAAAGTTGATAGTACTTGACTACCTCTTGAAAGTACACTAAATAAGAAGATAGGGTTACCTAATGTATCTTGAAAAAATGAGGAGAAATACATCATTTTAAGATGTATTTATTAATATTCATGGATTCTATCTCAAAACCTATTGACCAGGAGGGGAATGGCCCATTTATATTATAAACTTGTGTAAGATCTTTTATCTTTTCAATGTGGAATCTTTAACCGTACTAGTCCACTTGTCACTTGTGTATAAGATTTCTTTAACCAATTTTGGGGTCTTTAACTCCAAATTTGAGTATTTTATTAAGCAATTAAGACTAATCAATGAAAGCTACTCCCATATGTGTTAATTTTGAGAATATATGAATTATTTTATTCTCATTGTGCATTGACAAATATTATCTATATACATGTAAGAATTTTTCTTAAAACTTTATTTCACGTAGTTTAGTTTAGTGGATATATCTTTCTATCCAATATTTTCATACATGTGAGGGGAATTTATTAAAAGTGTATCAAACAAAGTGTAAGAAAATTAATTATATGGAGATAATGAATCTTAGTATATAGTATCAAAATATTCCAAAAATAGAGAATTGAGATCACAGGTGGGGGCATATGGTCAAAGGGCATTGATGATCATGGAACTGAGATTTGGTTTGAATGAGAAATAATAATAAAGGAATTACATATAATATATAAATATATTATAAGATATAGTTTAATTAAAGGCGTAACACAACACAACACATGGGATTGGATATTAAACAAAAACATGTGCGATATCGTAATCTAAAAACAAACTTTGTACTGTATTATATATTTATAGACAAATTAAAGCCAGGTCTGACCTTCCCCAATGGCAATGGCGTCCTTTAGAGATTAATTAACCCTAATTAGTTAATTAAGTTTGGACTTAATTAATTAATTAATTAATTAATGTGGGTGTGGAATCATATCACAGTGTGTTTGTGTTTGATTTGGGTGTAAACGTGTGTAGAAGAAGACGATGGAAATCTGACAAAAAATCCCACACGCAGAAGGAGGCAACCATAGCCACTCTCCACACCCACTTATTCGTCCCCACTTGCACACTAGTCTTTTCATGTCAGATTGAATCATCATATTATTTTTCTYTTCTTTTTTCTTTCCTTTTTAATTCTTCGACTTTTAGAATTGTGTTTGTTTGTACGTAAAATTGTCGAGTTCAGTTCCAATCTGCGAAGCTTAGTCGAGATACATCGAAGTACGAAAGATCTGCAAAATAGAGTTAGCACTCCGATGCTCTAGTTTGTTCATAGTTTGATCTATATTCGAGAGTGAATATATTTCGCGTACCTTGTTTGAGAGGCGAACTCTTGATAGGACTTYCGACAATCTAGGACCGAGTTGTGGTATCGAAGAACATATATGTCAYATKTGCGCTTGCGGATACTCTTTAACTTCKACTCATACCTGACATTAATCAATCGGTAGGTAGAATCTAACTTGGTTCGACTTCAGATGTCAGAGCAGAGGAAACTTGTCTTTGTCKAATCTAATTACCTGATTCTCCTGATCATCTTGAGAGCTGGTGATCTTTCATGTTAACACGTGGCAGTCAATAAACTTTTGATTGTAGGTTTAATAGTAAGTTGTTAGAGTGTCTAATTATAAGTTTTTAAAATTTTAATTTTGTATTAATTTTGGACCTATTGGTTAGAACTCTAAAAATATTCAATTCTATTCCTACTAGTTTGGTGAATTTTCAGAACAATGAATTGAAAATTCTATTAGATACTTGAAAGTTTAGGGATAGACACCTGGTAAAATCRGTGACCTTCAATTTTATTTTTATCTAWTTTTTTGAAATGTAATAATAAATTTGTATTCAAGGGTTCCCATAAGCATAAAATCTAGTCACTTTTTAAAAGCATAAATACCAAAACAAATTAAATGTTCTAAAAATACAAGGACTAAAMTAAACAATCGGAAGTAAACGACCAAAATTAATGCTTTAAAAATAGTACCGAGACTAATGATGCACCTGTTATTTGTAGTGCAAATCAAGTCTTTCGTTAGCTATAAAAGAGATATCGATGATATATATAGATAAAGACAATTATTTCAACTAATATGAAATTTTTTAGGTGAAATAAAAAACAAATCATATAGTTGATTATGTCTAWAGCAGACAATATATCATATCATTGCAGAGACAAATACGTAGGATTACATTATCAGGATTTCTTTATCAGTTTTTTATTAAACTAGAGTAGAGAGACTAAAATAGTATTCAATTTTTCTTCTTGATTATTATTATTGTTTTTTTTTTGGCGCTTTCTCTTGAAGAAATTAGCCTGAGGGTGCAAACGAACACCCATAACCTGCTCACATTTGAATCTGTCCATATATATCAAAATATTATTAGTATTATTATTATTAAACTATTATCCCTTTGTCCTAATCATAATTCATAAATGTCTTCTCTTCTCCCCCGCTTCCACCGGGGCCTCCTCTTCCTCTCTCTACAAATCAAGGGGACATGTCTTCTGTCTCTCTCTCTCTCATCGTGAAAAAAGGTGCCGCCACACGGTCCACACCCACAGTCATGCATGAATTATCATCCACTCTGCACTAGAGAGAGAAACATAGTCTCTCTTTTCACGTAAACATCCTCAAATATTGATACTCCTTTCCTTYATTGTAATTAATGTACGTCGAGTTATATGAATTAAAGGAATATGTCAATACAAGCATAKCTCAGCGGTAAGTGATRCATGTTGTAAATATAATACTCTCGTAATATTAAGAATTTAAGGAGCAGTTGTAAATATGTCAAAAATATTTAGTTAAATTAGCAAAATAACAATCACGTTTAGTTTTTTCAAATATAAAATTTAAAAAGAAAAAAGAAAAAAACAGAGTCTAATTTGAAAATGATAACTTTATTCAAATGATATACATCTGTAATATATCTATAATATAGATTACTACTAATATATGTATGTGATATACATATCTGATATACTACTGATATGAGTATTTGATATATCAATGATATGTTACTGATATAAGTGAAACTATTTTATATATTTGAAAATTTAAAAAACAGGCGATATATTTTGAAATACATAAAATATTTTTCCTACTCATCGTAATTTTTCTAATATTAAGAACTGGAGTGGTAAGAATTAAAAAAATACGATACTCTCGTAGTATTAGAATTTTTTTTTTTGGGAGGGGTGAAATTGTGCCGGAGATGAATAGTAGTAAATTATTATTATTATTTTTTAAATAAAGAATAGGGATGGAGTTTAGTTGTTGCACTGCACTGCACCCCTAGAAGAGGACAGCAAGGCTTGTCTGGTGGGTGATGTGGATTGTGAAGAGGAAATTATATTATATATATTTTTGCATTCATTCTCTCTGAATTTCAAAGCTGTTATATGTGAAGCGACAGATTGGAACAAAATCTAATCTAAATAACACTTTCCAGTTTTCAAAAATCATTACCTAACTTTCAATTACTTGGCAAGACTTAACTTCAATATCTCCCTAGATTCTTTTAACGGTAAAATCAATTTCACTGAAGTAGATCTTTGGCGATGAAAATAAATTTAGACTAAATTGTAAAATAGAGGAGTCGAGTAATTGAATAAATGGTAGTAATTCCTTTTGTTATGGGAAAAGAAGAAATAAATGACACCAAGAAGACGTACACACAAATTAATAATGGAAAATAAATAAATATATATATATTAAAAATATGAAAGTTTAAGAGAGAGGAGAGAGAGAGAGAGATCTCGAAGAATGCAAAGAGCACACTGTAAGTTTGACCGTCAAAAAGGGAATCAAAGACGGTAAAACACATGGCCTTCAAAGCTATAACAATTCCTTTTAATCTTTTTTAATTATATTAACAA